GATGCTAGTGTCAAAGAACAGAGCCACGCACATCTTACATGACATATGTGCTTAATAAAGCCAAGCCCTTCTTGTCTTATCAAATCTCACCCAGAGGCCTGCTTCACAGGAAACATCACTTAGAACATATTTGATGCAGCTTTGTCTGCCCTGGTTAACTGTTTTTTTAAAAAGCACTCATTTTCAGACCACCTAAGTGTGAAAAATACCATCTCAAAGGGAAAACTTGGTGCTCTCAAAGTCAGTAGGGGAGACTCACTGGCATGACTACATTTGGGGCACTCTACTTTTAACAGCTATTTTTAATCTCTGAGACTAACCATTCAATACATTATTAATGGTTGTGAATTGACTTAGGGGGGATCCAATTAACACGTATAAATATATGAGGGCTGGGTGTCAGGAAGGAAAGGGCAATCTCTTGTCGCTTATGCCCTGCGATAGGACACGAGGTAATGGATACAAGCTGGAGCACAGGAAGTTCCACCTCAACATGAGGAAGAACTTCTTTACTGTAAGGGTTCCAGAGCACTGGAACAGGCTCTCCAGGGAGGTTGTGAAGTCTCCTACCTTGGAGACTTTTAAGACCCGTCTGGATGCGTTCCTGTGTGACCTGCCCTAGACTAGATGGTCCTGCTCTGGCAGGGGGGTTGGACTCATTGATCTCTGGAGGTCCCTTCCAACCCCTAACATTCTGTGATTCTTTATGTTTCCATTTCATGTTATGCAAAACACCCTTCTGTGGCCTTAAGAAAATATATATGCTGACTGAAAAGATACTGAAGAGCTAAAACACCTTCTAAAGACTATTTTGCTTTCATGAAGTGTAACGAAAACTAAATCATACCTGGGAGCCTCTTGTTAATACATGTAAGAACTGAATGCCAAAAAGTCTTGCCATTTCACTTGTCCTGTCAATCAAATCCAGTTTGTGTAACAACTGAAGATTCCCACGGACACGGCTAACATAATGATCAACCATTTTCCATCTGTGAAAGTAAACACCTCATTATAAACAATCAGGAGAGTGCTCCTCTTTCTACTAAGAAAAACATATTTTTATGATAGCTTATTAAAAACCAGCAAATAAAATAAACAGATTCAGGTACATCAGGTATCACACAAAGATATATACAGAATGTGCTACAGCAGACTACCGTTAAGGCACATCTCAGCGTCCTGTCTTCCTTACTGCCCTGAAGGATTACTGAAACAGAAACTTGAGTTTCTCCAAATCTCTTTACATAGTTTTTTTAAACCAAGTGGACTTTTGTGGAAACATCCTTCTGTATTAAGAATACCTATCTCAGCTGAACATTAATTTGTAATTTCAGTACTAACTAAATCAAGTTTCCACACAGCTGGAAAATATTTAACTTTTACAGAAATTATATGTATTTCACAAATGACACTCAGATCAGTACAGTTTTATGAATTGTTCATAGCATACGCTAACAGATCACTCCACAGAAGAGGGAAGACCAGGGTGACAAGTGTCACGCACAGGTATTTTTAAGCAGCTATAGTTACTGTCTTAACACCTCTCACACTGTCTTGCACTATTTTTAAGCCTAGCTTGGTTGACATGCACTGTGAAGTAAAACAGAAACCTGACAGTTCATTAATAGTCCTTTGGATGACTAGTACATACAAAATAAAGACCTTACAGGACTTCAAAATAGTACATCTATTCGGTTATTAAAACTGTAACTGAAAAATTGTTTTGTTTTTGTGTACTTCAAACAGAAAAATACACAAGGATGAAGTATTGAGTATAACTACACAACAGAACACAGCAGAAGAGTAAATAAGCTCATGTTGCTGCATATAGCCAGATCTAGTACCTGAGCTAAACTGAATATTTCTTTTGGTGCTAACTTTAGCTTACACCTATCTGATGTTAAGAATTTAGCCTTAAAAACAACAAAATGTATTAACACATCATTACCTGCAGACATCTGTCTGATTATCAAACCAGTCAGACAGAACTCGGAAAGTAAATAAAGGAAAACGTTGATGAAGAACATGAAAGCCCACGTTTTCAAAAGTGTAATTCATTAGATTCACCTAGAAAAACAGAGAGGATGTGTTAACATACATGATGTCTTTCATATAAAAATAAATCTCTACTTAAAAAAAAACTGTAACAGCTAAATTTATTAGCTTTTTATTAGTATTCCCTATTAAAAAGGACAACATTTATACTTAGAAGTCCCTAACTATTTATAAGTCAGGACAGAATATCCCCCACCAATTGAAAAGAATATGCAGAATTCAGTAGATCAAAAAACATGTCTCAATATGGTCAGAACAAGATTTATAAAGACTGAACTATTTGACAATTAAATGGGGGGTCATAAACAACAGAACAATGAGCAAGTCTTATAGCTTACAATAAATTCAAATATTTAATTTAGTAAAAGCGCCACACTAGACGAATTGCTGAAATAGGTAGAGTTCTCAAAACCCAGAAAGAACTGAAAAGGAGTATCATTAATAAACATTACTGAAAGGTAAGGGCTTCAGTATTTTACATTTTAGCAACATGCAAAATCCATTCTCACAAAGTGGCAGGTTTCTCTCTTTGAAAAGGTGTACATATAAAGAACAAAAAGTTACATGTTACGTGAAATTTTCAACAAAGTGTACAATAATTTAAAAAAAACTGAGTAAGTCAAACACATTAACCTTTTAAAAACGTTACCTCATTTCTCATCATTCTCCACACATTTAACATAATTCGACCAACAATATTTATTTCACTCATTGTATCTGATCCATATTCATCCAGCTCAGCCGCAAATCTGTTCTCTTTCTTTTCATCTAAAAACATTAAAAGAGAATGTGTTTAGACAATTTATAGGACAGTCAAGCCCAGACCAAGCTATCCCTCTTCCAATTTGATCTCTCTAGAAAAATAAGAATTCACAAAGACTGTTACTGATTGCACAAATTATTTATTTACCAGTCTTCCACACAACTGCTAAATAAAACTCCCCCAGGTTTTCTTGCCCTTGCATATCCCTATGAAGGTAACTCTTACTTTGGTTTCACTGAAAAATGGTGTCTATGGCAATATATTCTCCATAGCAAATATTTTGGTTAGGCAATGCTGAGTGCTACTTAAGAGCTAGCTGCATGCACATTAGTGCAGGAGATTTAAAGAGAAAAAAGAAAAAAAAGGCAATTTCAGCCCTAAAGAGTTCATAACTCAAAGCTTTACGCAGGCAGAACCAGGTCATGGGAGAGAAAACTCATTGCCTTTCTAAAAGTAAAAGCAAGCCCACCGCAGTGGGAGGAGGAGGTAAACATGAGTTCTGAGTTCTGGACAGCACAAGGTGACACAGGAGGAAATAAGAAGGAACAAACGCAGAGGCAGAAGTAGCACTCTGAATCCTTCTGTAAGACAGCGGTGACTACAGTGCAGGAAAAATCCCCTGTTTTGCCATTCTTGGTTTTCCACAACACAAGAGAAGACAGTCTTTTTTGGCATATGCTTCTTGAAACTGTCTTTTTTTCCAGTAAGCCTAAGGCTACAGTCTTGATATTCTTTCCTGATTTTACATACACCTTTTTTTAAGATGTAAAATACAGGTCAAAATTCAGTATGAAAACACACTGCATTATTTCATCCTCCAACCTCGTTCCTTCATATGAGTTTAACAGAAGAGAAAGCACCTTGAGGTAAGTTTACCACAATTCTAAAACCATACCCACTTTCCAACTATTGGTGGTGTACTCTGCCGCTAGTCATTTATCAGGTCCCCCTGTGCAGTACCCTACTAAGACAAAGCAGAACATTTTGGACAGAGCGTATAGAAGTGTGAGTACACAATGCTTTGCAGTAACGATCAGAATGCAGCAATTAGTTCCTCAGGCAGCCATGAAGCACATTTACCCTTGAAGACAGAAGTAAAAACTGCTTGAAATTCTGCAGAGCTGCTGGGTCACAAAAGACCCACTGCCCTGATGAACAAGTGACCCTGCATGTGATGAGCATCTCAAAATTACAAAAACCTGTAGTGCTCTGTAACTGGTGTGGGGAATTATCCTCAGAACCATGTAAGTCTCTTTAGAAACAAAGTTAAGAAGCAGAACTGGACATTCTTATCTTTCAAGTGCATGAGATGAAATAAGAAGTCGTCTCCTCTTATCCTCTGTTACCCACTCCCTGACTTTGAGCTGTGATGTGAAGGAGGAAACAGGAGGCCACAGTGCACACACAGAAAATGCCGCTACGCACAGGCACAGTACTCACTTCTCTTGTGGTGAGTCCTAATGACTTATGAATAGTTCACTTGTAAATGGCAGAGGCAGCACCAGACTCAGCCAATAAAGCAAAACCAGAGAGAAGTCCAGCTTTCTTTTTGTTAAGTTGAAATCACAGGAAAGGGAAGGAAAAGTACCTTCCATCTTTATTTCAATAGGAGGAAAGAGGAGCATACTGCTTGAAGGAGCACTTCCTGTTCTGAAAATACAGTATGTGAAGAAGGGAGGGAAATATGAAGCATAGGGGTTGGAAAAGCAAGAGGAACATAGATGGGGTCAAAACCACGGACAAGGAAGCCACAAAGCAAAGAACAACACGATACTTGTACGTTTATGGTCATGCATGCAAGCCCACACTTATGGCATGACATTTTTGAGAGGAGTTCATCAGTGTGAATGCTTCCTTACCTTTCTCCTGCAGTTCAGTCAGAAAAAAAATAATTACTTACCTTACAATAACACTAGTTCTTAGAAACATTTTAAATGCTATGTATTCCACTTCTGGGTGTGCATCTACCACCTGGCACAAGAACATCTGTACTACAAACACCAGTGCAGTGGAGATCATGCATATGTCCTGCATATCCGATTGAGCCTTATGCCCAAACATGCCAAGGGCTACAACCCTGGTTTCCTTCACTAGAACTAAACCCATCTTGTGTGGGACTTCACAGCTGTAGGGGAAAGGAGGGCTGACTGCAAAATACTTAAGGACATCACCATTAAGAACCACACAGTTCCCAGAGAAGTAACCTTTCTTCTTTGAGGAACTCTTCATGTGTATCCCAATTCCAGTAACTTGAACAACAGCTTACGCCATGAAAACGGGTACTGGCTTTGCTGGTTAACTGTTGATTCTACATCAGCGATAGTGCAGGCATAGCTGTCCTGCAAGATGAAAGCTGTGACTCAGCCTTTGAGAACAAACACAAGAGACACACTGATTACCTGTCCTAAACTGCAGAGGTTGTTCAGCCATATTTCTTACCAAAGACACTGCAAATCTTGAACTCTTAGGGGTCAAAAGGTTTTCTGAACATCCTTCAATACCTCTGAAGAATGCATCCAGAAGCATTATTATTGCAAACAGTGTATCGTCTCAATTATAGCCATCAGTGGATTTAATAACAAGGTTCATGCAATCTCTCATTATTTCTGAAGAACAAATTTGAGAACTTTGTGCTGAAGAAGGAAACTTGTGACCTCTGATGGCCAATCCATACTTAAACTGTCACATGTTCCTGTTTTCATGTACTATTTAAAGAATCACCAAGGCCCAGTTACCAACAACTTTCAAACGAAGATGTAAATTTGTTCTTATGTTCTCCTGTGCCTAAGAGATCTCTACAATTCAGACTTTTTCAACAGGTCACACCTATCAGAAGCATCAAAAGATTTTTAAGGCATAAAAAGAGTGCACAAATATTCAAACTTCAATACAGAAGTGTGTGAACATAGCTCTTCTAAAACGTCACGTTCATCTGGCCAGGCACACAGGATGCAAACATAAAAAATATTATTGCTATGCTGGGTAGGCCCAAAGAACAGTACAAGAATGGCTACTGAAAGTACAGAGGTCATTAGAGAGTTGCTGCACAGGATGACTGCTGCTTAGGATCATCTTTATGCCCTCATATTCCAGCCAGAGAAATCACAAATAATGATTACGGCAGGTACCCTGAACGACATTGAAGTGCTGGGGTTAAACCCCCAGCCCTGAATGAGGGTTGGCATATGGATGGTGTCCACAACCAGGCAAGAAAGACCCTCCTGATTGGTTTTCACTCAGGGTCTGGCCAGCCTTGGGTGGGAACTGATTAGGAGATCACCACCAGGTGCCCCTGCCTTCCACATTAACTTGGAGGTGGGGCAAGAAGCCACCTCTATAAGAGCTGACTGGTTGCAGTAGGGTTGGGAGGTTTGTCCTACACAGTGGATGTGCTGTGTGGGGATTGTGGCTACTGGAAGGGCTCCCTGATTCTTCATGGCAAGTGGAGTTCCCAGGATGACAGGGCCAGAACATGAAGCTGTCTCTGAGTCCCTATTAGATAACTGGGCTCATGGCCTGGTTGCTACCATCTCCTTTGGCTTGGCTCCTTGCCTGACTTGCTCCCTTCTTCATGTCCGCTGTGATGGGTGAGTGCATTGACTTGTTCCTCCCTCTGGCTGTCTGGCACTTTGGATCTCTGGTGTGTGATGTGGGAGTGGAGGGAGGAGTTTGGCTGCTGGTCTGCCTGTTAATGAGAATATCATTCTATATGGGGCAAGCAGTCAACAGAAGAGACATACACATGTGACTGAAGCCAAGAAGAAGCAAGAGAAGGTTTAGTAGCAAAAGCACCTCCAAGAGCTAAAAACTCAACATGCATGACTACAGAAAATCTGTCTAGGTTCATGAAGTGAACGCTCAGAAGTGGAATACACAAGGAATTTAACAATTGAGAAAATACTGAAAACCAGAATCTTATTGGTATTTCAATTTTGTATGTGTAAGATTATATCTAGAACAGCATAACAGCAACAAGAAAAAGAAATCTACCTGAAGAAATACTCTGTTTATTTTTTTTAATTTATTCATAATTTCAACTTGTTTCTGTTGGAACTGAACTGAAACCCTACACAAAAAACTTACCTGGCACACGAGAAATCATCTGGCATAAATCAACATTTAGTGCAGCGGCCCTCTGTAAGAGATAACCCCAGGAATGCATCTGGACTTCATAGCCTAACAAAATGTCTGGGTCATATCTAGAGGGGGGAGGGAAAAAGGAAAATGAGCTTCATATTGTTTAGGAAAATATTTCCATGAACAGGGTATAAACAGGATTTCATTCCAATCAAGCTGAGTTTAAAAATGAAGCAGCCACAATAGGTTTCTATGAAAGCAGCATTTGAACTAGAAGACAATATTTAAAACAAAATTTTTTAGGATTTTCAGTAACATTGAGCAGAAATATTTTTTAGAAGAGCTGAGTATTTTCATTGGGAAATTTATTTTTTTTAAACATGTTTCTATTATTCCACTCTTAATAAATAAAAAACAAATCTAGATTTAATCAGGTATTATCAACAGAATCAGGCTGTATCGAGCATAAACAGAAACCAAGCGACCAGAACAAGTGCAATAAGATATAGTCCCGTCCTCAAGCTTAATGATACTGTTTTCCTTTATCACAGAATCACTTTGGTTAGAAAAGACCTTTAAAGTCATCGAGCCCAGTCATTAATCCTACTCTACCATACTCCATCAAATCATCCCCTAAGCCATAACCCCAAGCACCCTATCTATGTGGCTTTTAAACACATCTGGGGATGGTGACTCTACCACCTCCCTGGGCAGCATGTTCCAGTACTTGACAACTCTTCCAGTGAAGAATTTCTTCCTGATGTCTGGTTTAAGAAATTTTATGAAATTGAACAGAATTTTCTAGTTGCCTACTTGAATATTTTGCAAATAGCAGTGTGCCATGCATACTATAGCATAGCTTATCATAATCAGAGGATGCTTCTGGTCCTAAATAGTGACTCCTTATTGGGAAAATTATAATTTGCAGTTGAGTGAGAGCTGTCAAAACTGAAACAATGGAGAAAATCAACTTTATTGACCAGTTCTATTTAAATACTTTTTCCTTTAAAATAATCTCCTTTTTCTAAGATAAACAAGATAAACTTATTTTATGCTGCATCCCATGCAAAGTGGAAAATTTGACTGCTTCAGGCATGACAAAAAAAATCCCCTCAGAATTATCTTCTTGCACAGTCACTGCCCATCTTCAAATCTGGCTCAAAGAAGAGTTGATAAGACAGAAGGGCAAACAAGGTGGATTCCAAGTCAATGCACAAGTAGGAATTGGCTCAGAGGGGTCTATCACCTGCCTTTTGAGTAGGTGCTGTTAAAACAGTACATCATGATCTGTTCACCTGCTGGAAAGCCAAAGAATAATTTTCTTGGGCTGGGCAGAAAGAGATTGGCCAAAGTAATATCAGATTATCTGTTATTTTATAGCCAAAACAAACAAACAAACAAAAAAGGCAAGCAAGCTTCACTGGGAAGAATAGCTGCTTCTCTTATTGAGGCTCAGTTAGGGAGCTCTGAGTGCCAGCAGGCAGCATCCAACACAACTGAATGATCCAAGGGCAGCTGTCAGGAGGCAGAGGACTAGGCGATAGGCCAAGGGTCCTGTGCCACATTCTTTGCCCAACCTCACAACAGGACACAGGCTACACCCTAGTTTATGGGAGATGTAGGTAGGGACCTTGGCTTATGAGCAGGATCTCTGCACTTCTTGCATCTTGAAATGCATCAAAAAAGCCAATGTTTCCTGTCTGTTTGCCATAGCAGAAAATCCTTTCCCCAAATCCTAAGTTAAAGTTGTACCACAGACAATACAAGTGAAGCTTCAGACTTTATTGTGAAAATGTCTTCCTTGCTTACGTGTCCCAAAGGCAGATGACAACTCACTTTGAAGTAACTACTTAGTTAGTTACTAAGTACCTAAAGAAAAAAAAAGCTTTTCTATATTTCTGCCATGGACACTAACTTTTTGTAAAGAATAAAGGGAAGATTATTTGAATCTTCTTACTGGGCATGGTTATTTCTTTATTATAATGTGGGCTTTTGTACCAGCCAGCAAAAGTTGCAAAATCCCTTTTACTGCCTACTTCTACCTATGAAGGAATAGTTTTGATACAATGTTTGGCTAAAGTAGAAGATTCTAAAATAAGATTTTGATATATACCTGCATATATGTATCTATATTTGTATATGTATCTGTAAGACAAACTGGCAGGGAAAATGACTAGTCTGGCTGAACAGGGAGCTTCTGCTGAAACTTAGGAGGAAGAGGAGGGTCTACAGCCTTTGGAAGAAGGGGCAGACTACTCGGGAAGAGTACAGGGTTTTAATTAGGTCATGTAGAAAAATCATTAGGGGGGCAAAAGCTCAGCTGGA